CCCGCCTCCCTGTCCTCCACGCCAGAACGGATTAACGGTAATTACATTGAACCTTATGAGGAAATTTCCTTCGGGTTGCAACCAATTCGGAGTGTGACCAGAGTCACGGAACGAATTAAGTTCGTAAACCAAAGTACCACTGTAGTTTATTTAATGAACCATAGTGAAGCCATAATTTAACATGATGTATGAATTCATCACACAGAATTGAAGTCCCAGTTTTTTATTTAGTGCACTTCTGCTATTACACTAAAGGGCATTTTCTCTTGACCTTAGGGGTTCTGGTGGAACCATCTTCTTTACTACCTACCTGAATGGCTCTTGTAGTAAGTAATGCTCATTATAATAAACAAAGCTGCTTCACTTTAGAGCTTTTTCTGCAGATTTGATGGATTATTCTCTTTGAGTCCACAGCCTCAAGAAGTCTTAACCATCTGCAGTTATTTTAAGTGGGAAAATCATATTCTAGCTAATTCTATGTATTTGTTTATCAACATTTGGAATCTTCCCTGTGATCCACCCATAAAAAATTGTAGTTATAAAATTCCATTGTCTTGCTTTTTAGAGTTTTTAATTTAAAAAAGCCTCACTAAACATAGTGGGAAGTGTCAAAACATTAGCTGGTTTGCAAGTGCTTAGAAGTTGCGGTAGTTCTGTTTTTTTCCCCCTCTTTCACTCCTTTGTTAATTTTTTCTGCTGCTTGATGCATTTCTAATTTACAGAACTTTGGCCTAGTAAATAGGTATTTACTGTCTTTAAATGACATGAAATTAACTTTTGATTATGATGTTGAAAGAAGTTCTAGAGGGTGCAGAAGAGGGATTAGGAACTACATATGACCCTGGGGCTTCAGATTGCCCCTTTTCCAAACTATTTATGAGTAACTCCTAAAGTTGCTACAGTGGTTATCATTTTTTCAGTTGAGAAATTTTAGGTGTTGGAGCACAATAAATATGAGGATGAGAACAATTATAAATATGACCTCACATATTGAAAAAAAACCCATCATTGTTTCACTGAAACCATAATCAAGACAGCAATAATGAATTGTTCCTATTTTCCAATGACATATAGCATGAGATGAAGCTTCTGAGAGTGGAAATTCAAATAGTTAATTCTTACTGAACTACAAAATGTGGAATTGAACCTGTTCATGAATGATAATGAACAGTAGAAGAATCTTTCTTTACAGCCAGATATAAAACATCTTATGTGAACACAGAATTGGAAAACCTGTCTATAGCATAACCTGTAAATATGAATCAACTGCATTGCTGATGTAAAGAGGGCTTCAAGTATTGAAGCACCTGTGGTACTCTGTTTTTGAGGTAGTTTGGCTTTCCATCCTGATGTTTATGTGGATGTCTGCAAAATGGAAGCCTATGTATATAAATTCTTTCTTCAGTTGCCCATGTTCAGTATGTGCAGACTGGGGACCTGCACAAGGTTGGGATGAAGTTAGCTGTTAGTATGTCATGGAGGGGGATTATCTCTCTCTAAATGGAGCAGTCTTAATTTATATACTTCTTTTTTTCAAGAAACTGATCTCGGATTACTAGAGTTAAAAAAAACTAAAGACTTTGGGAAGACCTTCAAGACCATAGGAAACAACATCTATTCCTTTGGCCTGGGTGGTCGTTTTCTCTTTGCATCTGTGATGACCCAAAAGGTAGGAAAAATGTTCTTGGGCTTCTTTTGTATTTCTGTAGACTTGGTGCTCTTAGTTCACATCAGGATCTTTTTTCTTTTCTCTAATGCAACGTCCCTAAACTGTGAGCCATTGAGTTATTGCAAGAAGTCCACAAAAATATGGTGAACAACAAAACAGAACAAAACAAAGAAACTATTCACAGCTCTTCCACTGGTTCAGATGGTGATGGAAATACTTCACCAGCTAATGTGAGATGGGAGGGAGAGAAATACTGAGCTGGCCTAGGAGAGAGATTGGAGAAATAGCACCAGCTGATTTGGACTGGTTCTTTTCCTGGCCTGCACCAATATTTCTGTTCCTCCCAAGATGTACAACATCATATCCATGACTTTTCCCACTACTGCCTGAGTATCATGCCTGGCTGTGATCCATGGAAGCTGTCAAATGTTCTCACCTTAGAACCAGTATCATGGTTCTTTATTGTCTGTACCCTGCTCTCCCTCATAGAGCTAACCAGGTGCATACCAGATCTCCCTACCAAGTATCTCATCTGCTGCAGGTCCTTCTATATATTCCTCCTTCCATACATTTTGGCACCCTTCAGCCTCAACCTCCAAGGCCCCACCAATGGCTACTCCCAGCCCCTTTCAGATTCAGGAAGCATAGGCTATGCTACAGAAATGGAGAAGACACTCTCAGGTGCACAAGTATTATTTCCATCAGCCATAATTCCAGCATCCCCAGCCGCTGAAGGCTCCTTTGTCCACCTAGTGGCCACCACCAAGCACACACTGGTGCTTACTTGTCTGAACTGACCAGCCCTGAGGCCCAACTAAGCCCCAGGAGGCTTTAGCTTCAGTTTGCCCGCCCCACCTCTGGTTGCTATATTTTCCAAAAGGCAAGACTACTCTGGTATATAAGTTCTTTTAAAGTTTGTCATTGTTTAATAAACACCAACTGTTTTTTAAATTATGTTATAAAATCAGTATATCATCATAAACATGTTCTAGTTGTTTCATATTATGAATAGCTTCCTCAAAAATGAATGTGGATGTTTCTAGAGAAAAAAAAAGTACGTTTTTGCTTTATCTAGACTAATACAAGGAGAATCCATGTGTCACTAGATGAAGGTGAAACATGGAACATGGCGCAACTTCCTTCAGTTGGACAAGAACAATTTTACTCTATTTTGGCAGCGAATGATGACATGGTGTTCATGCATGTAGATGAACCTGGAGGTGAGAGAGGGAATACAAGATGGGTGATGTATGCTTCAGTGTATCCAAATCTTGTTTGAGAATGGTTACAGAATTACATTTTAGAAGAACAGTGGTTCTTTAAATAGTTACCATTATATAGGCACAAAGATTTTACCCAAGACAAAAATGTTTGAACTGCTTATTTAGTAAATGGATTTCCAGCAAATTTACAAATTGTTTTGAGAATCTGTTCTCAGTGTCAGTATAGTGTATGTAAACATGTGGGCTTCCTGACAACTTTCTTTCCCATGCTAGTTTAAATAAACACATTGTATGAGCATGTTTTTATTTAGGTAGACTTCATATGGTTTTTCATTCAGTAATAAGTTTTAGGCTATCCTGGAATACAGATTGTCTGCATGAGCTTTCTAGTAACCTACAGTTTGATGGTAGATCATGATACAGGTTACAACCGTCTTCTGTAAAACTTTGATTCTCACCTTTCAATTTGCTGTTTCCTTTCCAGATACAGGATATGGAACAATTTACACCTCTGATGATCAAGGCATCATATACTCCAAGTCTCTGGAAAGGCATCT